AAGAGAAAATAACCCATTTTAGTTGTGATGTGGAATACAATAACCCATCACCATAGCAAAGAGCATATTTTATTTGAAAAATACGAATAAAAGGTTTTGTCCCTTTTGTTTATTAAAGGAAAAATGTAACAATTTCTATCAGTAACACTTGCATAAGGAGGTATACTTTACATTAATCTTTTGCTAAAAAAAATATATATTTTGGAGACTTTGGAAAAATAAGGATGGCCCAATACTTGCAACACGCTCCTAATGTTCCTTAGAATGCACTGTGCCATTTATATGTACTGCAAGTACAAGGTCTTAGCACTTTATAATCCACAAAGTTACCCTAGGCAGCATAATTTCATATTCTCCTCCACGTATAGAACATTTCCTTTGTGTGAGTCTATGAGTTTGGTTAACTCCAGATTGGCCCAAGATTTGTATTTTTTTCTCCTTAAGGATGATTTTACAAAGGCTTAGAGCACAGAAATTTTGCAATTCCTTCTAAACACCAGTGAGAATATTCATGTAGACATTTTCTCAGATTATTCGCAATTGAAACAACAGCATCAATTAGAGCTTGAAAACAAAAAAAAAAATGTTTACAAGTATTTTGATTTTCTACAAAGAAATGCAAAAAAAAAAAAAAATAAAGTGCATAACAGTGAAATTACTTTCAACTTTTACAGTTTTCTGTTTATGCAATAAATGGCAACACTGATAAACAAATGTCTTCAGTGTCTAAATCTTAATCTGAAGCCAGCTGAATTACACTTTTCTTCAAAATGCATTAAATCACATTTTTTTACTCTTTCAATGTTTACAATATATTTTTACATTTCCTACTTACAGAGACCATTTTCTCAGATAACATATCCTTTACAGCATACTATGCGCCCCCACTATTACAAGAAAGAGAATTTATTTGAGGTAATGTGACAAATTAATTTATTGTGTGTAAGTGCATGACTATTTCAATAGCTGTTGCAGAATTAAAATTCTACATCTGAAATCTCTTAGGCACCCCTTTCTATGTGCCGTTTAATGTTCCTATGCATCTTCTAGCTTAAATAAAACTGGCAGTTATCAGCATTTATTTGTTCGCTGACAACAGGATTACTATTTAGGGTAATGGGAACGTGTTGTATACTCACGTTCTCAAATACATCTATGAAAGCTTTAAGCAAAACCCATACAATCAGACTTAAACATAATCCTGGTAAGATTTTCTGCACAACACTGTCACTGAATTTACACCGAATTTAAATCAGCAACACTACAAAATGACTGTACCTTCCATGAAACACAGTATTAGTTTTCTTTCAGTTTAATCAATGTGAACATAGAAACTCTCAAATATCTTTTAAATTTGTTCATAGGACATGAAAGATCAAAGGAAAATTCTGTGGGATAAAGGAAATAAATCTGAAAAGTGTTCTTTTTGCATCATGAGGCCTGCTTCTGCGGCCCTGAAGATTTAGTATTCTGCTATTTGTCATGCAAACAACACGGCACAGCAATGTGCATTTGAGTAGAAAACATTAAGCATAGCAAGCATGCAGACGCATCATGACAGAAAAGCACATTTGGCGACCATCATGGATAGGACAAACCAAAAAAAACACACTGCAGCATTGCTGAAGTACAGCCTCAACAGCCCTGCAGAATTTTAAATGACTGAGAATCCCCAGGGCTTTGGGTAAAATGTGCATGTTGTATAGCAGCAAGAGAGCACCAGGAACAGTGAAAAGGAGGCTTCTTAATTCTGTGAGATATGACCTCCTCTTTTCATTAACTTAATGAGAATATGAGCATAAAGAGCGATTGTTTGTGTTGCCGCATTTAACTTCTGTTGGCTTTAAGCCTGAGTGTTCTATAAAGCAAATAAAAATAAAACAACAACTGGAGTTCTGTTTAAAGCACAAAACACATTCAATTTTCCCTGCTTTGGTGTAGGACAAGTGGGAACAGACATAAAGATAACTAACACTAGCTCTCAAAACCACTGTATAACAATGAATGCTGCTGTCTCATGTACATGCAGTACAAACTATTGTGACTCATGATACTACCAGCGTTCAAAGTCTTTCTTCTTAGCACTCTACTCATACTGTATAAAAACTGAGAAGTCAGAAAAAGCAAATGTAATCTAAATAAAAAGAAAATTTATCCTCATGAAAAACTTGCAGTTCTAGTTGTTTTATTCGGGATGAAATTGAAACACATCCTAACTCTCAGAAAGGATACATAAACCATTTCAGGGTAAGAACAAAGGTCACTGCTTTAAAGTAGCTGTTAAACTGTACTCTGCAATGAGGATGGCTTCAGTAAATGTATTGCTAGAAGATCCTGTATTTGGTAGAAATTAAATAACAAAGTCTGAATATAGATTACAAAACTACTCTCAAATCATCAGTAGAACTTGTTAGGCGTTGGATGCTTTCCCCTCTAAACTGGTTTCTGAATTTGGTTGGTTGTTGATTGAAACAATACAATTTCCAAATTGAAATGAAAACATGTTTAAAAAACCCTGGAAATAACTGCAAATAATTTTTTAATTTTTTTAAAGTGTTTGAGAAGTTTCTTTCAAAGCTACTTATTTCTCCAGAAGACTGTGAAAACCAAAAGCAATCATCAGCTTACTGGTAAGGAGTTTATTGAATACAGACTCAGCTTGGATGAGCAAGAATTGGAATACATTCAGAAGAGAGCAACAAAGATGGTGAAGGGCATAGAAAACAGAGTTATGAAAAGTGGCTGAAGGGAACCGGGGCTGCTTAGTCTGGAGAACTCATTGCTCTCCACAGCTACCTAACAGGAAGTTGTAGCGAGGAGGGTCTTTTTTCTCAGGTGAAAAGTGAAAGGACATGAGTCAACAGTCCCAAGTTGCATCAGAGGAGGTGTAGATTGGATGCTAGGAAGAATTTATTCATGGAAGGGATAGCTAGACATTGCTAGGGGCTGCCCAAGGAGGTGGTAGAGTCACCATTCCCAGAGGTATTTCTGAGACATGGGTGTGATACTTAGGGACAGAGTTTAGTGGTGAACTTGCTTTGTTAGGTGACAACGCTTAACCTGCTGATCTTGTAGGTCTTTTTTAAGTTAAATGATTCTATGACTGTAGGTAATTCTTTCCCTGCCAGTCTGAATCTCTCCATACCAGCCCAAAGTAGATAAAAAATACACAGCTTCGGCCCTGAACAGTTTCTCTATGAAATGCATACCATAAAAGCCCACATCCCTAAGTAGAGCTCCAATCATTTTAAAAGCACTAGACTTCAGTACATAGCAAACCTATTCAGTCATAATCCTTCATGGGTGTTAACGTTACAGCTAGAAAGATTATCATGGTGAAAACAGGAAAAGAAACAAACAGGGAAAGAATGCTCACCCCTATCCAAAGATCTAAGTTCACAGAAAAGAATCCCCAGAGGAAGGATCTCTTTCCAGAAACCCTTTCCTAGTGGCAGTCAGCCCTTAAATGTGTTTACTGCCAGTCACACAGCTGAAATGCCTTCACCTGTGCTCCCATGGCTGATTCAGTCCTTTCCTCAGGTGATCAATCAGTGGTTCAGGCCATGACTCAACACTTCCCACACAGTGGGATATTGTGTTCTCCTTGTTCTCTCATAGTATTATCAGAAGACAGAGAAAAAAAAGGTTAAACTTTCAAAGAAACCAAGCGGAAACATAAATCTTACAGATATTAAGCAGCCTAAAGATCAAGTTCTGCAATGCAAAAAAAAAAAAAAAAAAAAAAAAAAAATTACCAACAAAAGAGATTGATTTATTTCATCCATAAGAAATCCAAAATGACACATTTTCTTTCTTTCACCCTCCACTGGCTTAAGATGTTTATCTTCCCATGATGTTTGAAATAGGGAGAAAAAAGGTTTGTTCTGCTTAGATAGAAATTACTCTAAGACAAATTAAATATCTATATATTGAACAAGAAAAACAAGAAAACAAGCATCATCATTTTGATCACCTTGTTTAAATCTTGTGTCTCACCAGCAGCAATATTTTGCTTTTAGACACACACACAAACAGATACATTATGGTTAAGAACACTGTCATAAAGTGATTTTTGTAGCTCTTGGATTAAGACCAGCAAAAGACTTCAAAAGTTCTGTCTATTGCCGTAAGTGAAGCACAGTGAACCGAACAACTGCACACTTTAATTGTGCTGCCATTCTTGTTTTTACTGAAAGAACCCACACTTCATCTGCTCTGCTGCATAAAGAGTACTTCAGATTCATTTACATGAATGATGTTCCCATGAAAAGACAAAAAGCACACACACTGAAGACAACGCTTCTTTCAGAGTGCGTCTGGGGTTATGGTCTAGCATTGTGTTCGCACTGACAGCTAAAGATGCTCTCCCTCTGCTAGCTGGTTAGGGATATAAAGATTATGAGGGACATAATGAAATGATATTTTCACATTGCAACCTGCTAATTCAAACAGATTAAACCATCAAAGGACCATTTATTTTAGAGGACAGGTGTGGATTATCACTGCTGTTAAAGGAAAATGACTCCTAGGACTTCTCACACTGATAGTAAACCCCATTAGCTACCTTACACTGGAATCACAAGGCCTAGAGCACAGCTAGCAAGGCAACCTCAAAACCATCTGCAAACGATTTGCTCTTCCATTAGTTATCTTCCTAAACAGGAATGATCAGAAACATACTGCAGTTCAGAGATGTTAAGCATATTGCAATAAAAGTGTCATTGCCCGGCTTTACTTTAAGTACTGTTACAGATGCAGTACCATAGACTTTATTGAGCAATTAAAAATATACACAAGGGACAATTGCTTCTTTTCTCTGTATTTTTCAAAATTTTACTTTCTTCCAATTGGAGAACCCAGTTTCAAACATGAAAAGGGCACTTGTTCTACAGTAACTGTGTACAACTTGCTCGGTTCCAAGCACTGTATTCATTTGCTGTCATCACTGTTGTCGTTCTATCTCCAGCTGTTTAGGAATTTCTCTGTTCTGGGAATTACAGCTAAGTTGTTCTTTCTGATTCTATTTCCCCATAGAGTTCAGCTAGCTTCTTGAACTCAGGCCCCCAGTCTCCAAGGTAATTATAATCCTGGTCAGACTGTGTCGTGACTGAATCCAGAGAGCTGATAGATCCAGCTTCCGATCTATGGCCCTCATAGGCATATGTCTGTAAGGAGTCATATGGGGGCACACTGGGGTCCAGATCAGCCTCTGCAAGTCTTTGTTTAATGAACTCCTGAACATTTATACTGTCAAGGCTTGAAGAAGGATGATGCCTGGGTGCAGGCTTAACTTCAGGGCGGACATCTCTCCGATACTTTAGCTCTTCTGCAGCTGATGGATTACGTAGTGCGGTGATATCAAATGCTTCTGTGTCTTCTTCTCCACCGCCCTCATCATCATATGTCACAACATTTTCTCTGACATCTTCTTCTGAAATGATCAAAGGCTCCTTCTTGCTACGTCTTAGGGTGATGAAAAGGACCACAATTGCTAAAGAGAAAACTGCAGATTTTAGATTAGGTTTAAAGTTTACAGTTGAGGTAAGTAGATATATGCTACAAAAACAGTAGCTACTAAGTCATGAATTGAAATACTTGCCAGCTAATATTTGTATTCTGATGTTATTAAGCTGGCCTTGAACTGGAGTATCATAACATTAGGCACATACCCAATTTGGAAAAGAGCCTACTTAGAGTCCCTAAGTGAGCAGTACCTTTTTTGTGTAATGTTATACGAAATTATATGAAGATAGATTACTGTCTTCCCAGAAAGCACTCACGAATTCTACACAGTTGAGTTTTGACATAGCAAAATGCCAAAAACAACAAATAGAGATCACACATAATTAAGGAGAAATTTAATAATCCTACTGTAAAAGGACAAACTTCCAATACAGCCTAGTCTTCCAAAGGGCCAGTAAAGAACACATTCCTATTTACTTTGCAGGAATTTCTACTGTTTCTTGAGCCAATAATTAAATCCAGTTGTTAAGATTACTAGGGATCTCATATAGGACACAAAAAAAGATAATATACTAGCAGTTAGATGAGAAAGGAATAACTAAGGGTGACATTTTTGGGATGCATTGTTAAAGGCTTTCTGAGCTTCATTAAGACTAATATTCAGCATTTGACATATAATTAAAATGTACAAGCTTTATTTTTTTCTCTTATGAATGTTCAATCTTCTATGATAGAATACTAGATTAAAAACCAAATGTATTACTGTACATTTTAAATCTTTTTTTTTGCAGAAGGAATTTCTGAAGTAAGATGTGAGAGGTGCACTTTTAGAAAATGTTGACTCTTCAGAAAAAAAATCCTCAAAGTATCCTATGTGAGTCACCATGCAATTCCTACTATTTCTTTTTCCAGCTCTATTAGAATGCAGAGAGACACCTGAATAGATGAATATTACAGAGATATGTACCCAGCAAGTTTTGCCTCTGCCACAAAAAAAAAAAAATTAACTAATGGGTAACATTTAAATTGGCCCGGGTAGGAAAAAAAAAATGGAAAGAAAACACACTTGCAAGGACATTTATCTAATGGAGCCATCATATTATCTCACATGTCCCTTGCCCCCAAGGAGTATGTTGTGCACTGCTATCAGCTTATCTCACAAAGGTAATTAATGGCTTTTGTATAGTGCTAATGGTGCTTCTTACAGTGTAATGCATTTCAAAAAGCTTTCCTCATCATCTCTTTTCTATCATTTTTTGCACTGTTCTAGGCATGGAATTAGCCAGTGGTTTTTTGAAATCTTTTCAAATTACAGAAAAATGGTCTGCAGTGCTAATTACTTGATAACCCCTGAAAAATTATTTCTAGTGGATTCCAGATATTCATGAATGTGCTTTAAAGGCTTTTTTTCCTATTAATTTTAGCCGAACCTTTCCCCTCTAATCACAGCTATGTGTTTCTAATTACTTCCTTCTACCAGGCAGCTTCTGGTTCAAAAACATATCATATTAAAAATTTCTGCCCTGTCACATTCATAGAGCCAGCAGAAGATGGCAGTACTTAATATTGAAAATGACTTACCAAGAAGAATGACAACACAGAGCAGGATTGCAATTAAAGCTCCTGTGCTCAAGCCAGCTGAGGAGAGGAAAGCTTCAGCATGGCAAGTTCTCACACGTCCATCTCTCTCACATGCACAAACTCTAACAGTGAGAGTACTGCTGCTGCTGAGAGGGGGCACTCCACCATCAGAAATCAAAATTGGGAGGTAATAGATATCTTGAGTGGTTCGACTGTATCTCCTTCGTCTTGTCAGGATACTGGCTGTGTTATCTACAATATCATAAAAAAGAACAGAATCAGAAGCAAAATGAAAAATATGATTGACCGTTCATTCCCCATCCAGCAGAAGCACCAGGCATTTTAACATTCCACAATCCTAATCTGTGAAAATACACAATCCAGATTAAAATTGAGTGAGTACCATTTCTGGTCAAAGGAGGAAAAAGAGGAGGCAGGAAAAAGTAACTAGAACTAAATAAATAAGCCTTATTTAAGCTTGTGTCTTAAAGTCAAACTGGATTTTGACAAACATTTTGAATCCAGGTTGCAAGTGTTTTAATCTCATGATACACTTGTAAATGTGAATATCTAGAATTCTGCAAATATCTGTTGTGGAATTTTTCCACAACAGAAGTCCTTTTGATTCTTAAATGTCTCTACTAAAAGTTAAAATTAAATTTTCATATGTTAAGGTTTGTGACAGATTTTATAGATGAATTGAGCTTTCAGAAAATATCTGAAAGGACTCCTGCAGTAGGGAGATCAGGAAGAAGGGAGAGGTGGAAGGGAAGGGAGAGGGGAGTGGCAGAGAGTGCAGATACTAGATATTTTAAACTGATGAAGATATAAGGTAAATAAGGATGGTAGAGAGAAAGCGATGCAAAATTCTGTCACTGTTATGTTCATCTGGCATGTATTACAGTTAGTGAGAATACTAAAGCTTACTACATGCGCATTGAAAGAGCATTTATGAGCACTAATTAGGATGGTAAACTGCCACCCATGTTTCTTCAAGTCTAAAAAATATAAGGAGCATAAAGAGAATGCAGAGGAAGAAATGCTATGATAATATACAGTTACATCTTGATTTCAAATGTAATATTTCATTTTGATTAGTTGCCCCAACTTCAAAAGTATGGGCACTTCAACAACAGTCTGTAAGTAAAGCAAACAAAACTAGAGACTGAGATATTGGAAGTGAGGTGATCCAGAGAGAAATCGTGATCAAGAAGCACGGAAAGAGGTTGGAAGAAATATGCTCTCCCCTCGTTCCACTTGCACATGATGTGGATTTCCAACAGCAGGTTTGTGGTTGTAAAGATTTTTTAAAAATAACGAAGAGGTGGTAAGTGAAAAAAAAAAAAAAAAAAAAAAAAAAAAGTCTTCTGGATTTTTCTTCGTATTACAAAAACAAACAAACAAAAATGAACATTGAAAACTTATTTTTCCTTACCACTGCAGACACAGCACTAAATGTGTTTTCCATAAATTATGAAAAAATGAAGCCTGTGCCACTTTGTGAAAATTTAGCATGACAACACATCTAGCGTGGCATATTCCAGTCCATGGGATTGCTTATTTTCTGCACAGGTATTTGAACAGAGGGATTATTTTCCATCTAAACTGGGTGCAAACTATATACCAGATGATTATGTTTCACGCCACGTCATCTGTCCAGCTCTATACCAAACTTTAAAGCATTAATTTTAAATCACCTCTCTACATTTTATTTTGGTGTATCACTGAGTAATAGTACTGATAATATCTGTTAGTGTAGCCTGCAGGCATAATATCATAATATATTTGGTAACAGCTTTCACATGAGAAATATGTATGAAGCAGGAATTACCCACGGTCACAGAGGAGCCAGAGGACCCCAAAACTGCACAGTGTCAGATTCTCCTGCACTGAACCTGATTAGCTTTCTTCTCCATCTTCCCTAATTCTTGCAAATCTTGTGTATGGTTATTTTGCTACAAACTCATTCAGTTTTGTTCTCATTTGCAATGGGTGCAAAATATGATTTCTATTTGTTTATCTGTTTTCAGTAGGCCTCTTCAACTTTGTCATGCCACAGCACACTTTTGAGGACTGAAACTTGAGATTCATGCCAATTTCTTCCTCAGAGGCATGACACCAGCCACGTACAATGTCATTCACATTCATTCAATTTACAAAACCCTATTTAAGCCAACATGGTATGAACAGATGATTTTGTCACCTGAAACAATCTTATACAAAGCAAGATCACAACATTATGAAAATAAATAATACTTGCAGGAGTTTATAAAATATCTTTGATACATTCACATGCCATAATAAAAATATTTTCAATAATGAGCAGAAGACTTCCCACACAGAGTTGATAGGAAAAAAGGTAAATCACTTTTAACACAGGGTGATGAAAAGGATTCCTGTATAACTGAAAACTTAAGAAATGCAGAAAGATGTCTCTTATAAACATTCTGATAAACTTTAACACTATTCCATATTGCTTAATCTGGGCCTATGAAACCCTATTCAAAATGCTCTGATGTTCTTAGCAATGTTGAAATTTTTAATTATTATGTTGTTAAGAAATACATAATTTCCAAGTTATTCTGCACCTAGACTAGGGAGCGAATTGTTCTATTTTATAAAAGAAGGAAGAAATCAAACTTGATAACACCAAGACTCAGACTACATTTATTTTATAAATAAAATTCTTCCCTAAAGCAGAGTGAGCAGTGATCTTTGGTCCATAATTACAGTCTGTGCCCACCTGGAGAGGTCTTACTTGGCTTTTCTGACCTAATTTTAAAATCCGAGCAAAAATCTCATTTAAGAAAATTGAACAAACTTGTTCTTTGATAAAAGTGTGGTCCATTTTTCGATTAAATGCAGTACCTGAACAATCAAAATGATATATTTTAAAATGCTCCTGAAAAAAACACATAATGTTGTGGAGCACAGATTGCAGGTAGATCACCTATATGGCTTTGAAATTAAAAAGCGGAGAGTAAAGTAAGCAGCTTTACTTTAGCTGCAGAAAGTTTCAACTTTCTGCTACCTAATGTCGCAAAAAAAAAAAATCATTTTTTTTTTAAATAATATTTAACCTATTTGCCACTTCTTTTTTTTTTCAATGCCTGGACTGTCAGTCCCAGCTTCCCTAATGCTGCTGTAGGTGTGGATAAAAGTCTTTCAGGGTTCAAGCAGAATACAAAATGACCTTCAGTTGGTTGGTCTGTCAGCTGCCAAAGCACTGACAGATTAGGCTCTGGACACAGCACAGGAGCAGAAAAAAAACCAAGCCGTAAATTTGTGATTAATAAGGAATTTCAAATGAATGCATATTTTGGATGAAAATAAAGTAACACACTCTTTAAACACACAATGCGATGATTGCTGCTTCTGTCTTTCTCTATTCAGGAAGAAACTTCTCATCATCATCTTCCTCATAAGGATGATAGACTTTACAAACTTTCTGGTTCTTCAGTATCCAATTTACAATTGCTTCCTTCCTTGAAATGCACCTTGTTACAACTTACTAGCAGAGCTCCTCTCTAACAATTTCCTTTTTTTATCTCTGTCATGGTTTCATGGTTTTTCATCAGTATTCCACATCATGAAATCATGTGGTGCACGGGGAGTTAGAGTTAATGCTGCAGTTGCGTGGATTGTCAATATACTTTATGAGTTCTGGTCTCCTGGAGTCAGAAGAGAAGAATGAACTACAACTCCCAGACTTCATTTTACCGTTTCAGTTTTCCATTTGGAGGGAAAGATAAAACAGACTGGAAGTAACAAGACTTCCACTCTTTGCTCCCTGGCTGTTTTTACCCATGGCATTAAAGTAATGACTTTGGTTTTGGAAACTCTATCTTATTTTATTTGGTTTCTTAGATTCAAATTCAATCACTGTATTCCACTATTGTACTATACTGTGCCATCTCACATTCTGCTACTATATTTAGTAATTTTTTTTTTTCTTAGCTCATTGCCTTTGTCATCATTTGTCCAGACCCCTTTCCCTCCCTTTTCCCTTTCCCTCCCCCCCCCCCCCTTTCCTTTCCATGGCATGGGTCCGTGGGTCCCTTTGCCCCCTCATCAAAGAAACTAGACTGAGCCAGGCTGAACCATGGCAATCTTCTGTGCTCTGCAGACTGTTAAACAAAACAAGGCTGGGGAGCAAGTAAGATCTCAGAAGAGTGATCACTCACATTGCTGAATTTTAGCACTCTCCCTGGGATGCTGTTTGGGCCAGCTAAGAGTCTGTCACATAAAACCCAGCCTGACGCAATCACATACAGCAGGGATCTTCCCAGCAGGCAGTGTGGACATGAGTGCACCAGTTTGCCTCGTGGTGAAAAAGGAAAAGGTGAAGAACCATTTCCTAACAGCGAGCTGCCCCTCCCCTGACACAGCTCCATGCCGCTGTTGCTGTCACAGAGGGCAGAGCTCAGTGCTGCCCCGAGCTGCAGCTGCCATGAGCTCCTGCCCTCAGCTCCTCCGCTCTGCGCTGAGCAAACCCAGGGATTACAATCACTCCTTGTATGTCTTGCCCACCAGATATATCACTATCTCTGTTGTTTTCTTTTGGACACGTTAATTATTCCAACAGCCTGTGGGTCCTCAAGCATCCTCAACAGCTCTGTGCTACACTTGCAGCACATAGCTTCTTTTCATACTATGGTAATACTGCTCTGTTGGGCTGCCATACAGCTTTCATATTATTTCATAACCTCATAAAAAACAAAACAACAACAACAAAAACATAATGATGAAATCTAAGCACCTTTGGGTCCTGAGGAGTTACAAGGACAACTGCTATGCAATTGTTACAGTCAGCCTGTGTTATTATGCTTCATTGCAAGAAAACAATCACAGTTCTAGCTTTTCTTTTAAGTTACATTTTTCAATTTTTTTCCTCCTCAGTATCAATACCGCTACAATAAACTATTGTCTACTGGTCACCTAGAATTTCCCCTGAAGTCATTAGAGAGGCACAGCACTCCCATGTGCACATTTTAGGGCACACACTGAACAACAGGAAGAGAAAGCAATTTCAAAAAAGTGGCATTTCTAAGGAGAATTCTATTTCAAGTTGCAACAAGTGAAGAAATGACAATCATACAACAAAGTTATCCAGAACTAATACCTTAAAAACCTAAGGATGTGTTCAAGGACTTAGCTTGAAACTTAATTCCCTATTTCCATATCCACAAGCTAAGCGTTAATATTAACATCTGTCATGTCTCACATTCTAGAAGAAAAAAATTCTCAGATCT